TATATAAACCGGTTCCGGCGGGTACATGACAAAGAGTTTGGTTTCTCCAGAAGTGAAGATGAATATTGTGTATATGTCAAAGCTAGTGGGAGTATAGTAACCTTCCTGGTTTTGTATGTTGACGACATACTTCTTATAGGAAAAGACATTCCAACTTTGCAAGAAGTTTAGTCTTGGCTTGGAAAGTGTTTCGCTATGAAGGATCTCAGAGACGCTGCTTATATTCTGGGGATAAGAATTTTGAGAGACAGGAGTAAAAGGCTAATTGGACTTAGTCAAAGTACGTATTTGGAAAAAGTACTAAAGCGTTTTAGTATGGAGAATTCCAAGAAAAGAGAACTGCCCATACAGAGTAATACCAAACTGACTAAAACTCAGATCCCGAGTACAGATGCCGAAATAGTATAAATGAGTAGAGTTCCACATGCTTCCGTCGTTAGATCTATCATGTATGCTATGACATGTACTCACCCTGATGTGGCTTTTGGTTTGAGCATGGTTAGTCGTTATCTGCGAAGAACTAAGGACAGGGTCCTTGTACATGGTGGCAATGATAACTTAAGAGTAACTGGGTATAATGACGCCAACTTTCAGACAGACAGAGACAACTTCCATTCTCAATTTGGCTGGGTATTTACCCTTAATAGACGAGTGGTAACCTCGAAAAGTTCCAAACAGGAAACAGTGGCCGATTCTACCTGTGAATCGGAATACATAGCAGCAAGCGAAGCATCAAAGAATGCGATTTGGTTAAAAAAAACTTCATTGGAGACCTTGGAGTTGTTCCAGCCATCAAGAAGCAATGGAGATTTTCTGTGATAATGAAGTAGCGGTTGCCTTGACAAAGGAACCAAGAGATCATGGCAGACGAGACATATCGACAGAAAATACCATTTCATCAGACATAGAGTAGAAGAAGGTCACCTCGTCATAAAGAGGGTGTCATAAGAAGAGAATCCAACAGATCCCCTCACAAAGGGTCTGAGTAGAGTCAATCACATTCAACATTCTAGGAGCATTGGTCTGAAGGATAGTTTTAGCAGTTAGATAGGTATTTAGAAACTTATAACGAAATAAATGTAATTGACTTTTGGTGATTAAGTAATGGTGATTTATTTATGAGTTGGATTACTACCTTTTGTCTATTGTTTATTTTGTGTTTCATTTTGCATGTTTTACTTCCAGAATAATTGGATTATTCAAACATCCACAGTCGATCATACTTTTACAAGTAAGTAGTGGATTAAGGCTGTCATGAATTGGATTGTAGATTGTCTAAGGGTTTAGACATAGCAATGGTTTGCTACAACGTTCATGGGTACTTGAAAAATTGGGATTTTAAGAATTGGATTAACCCACGCTCAGAGAATTACTTCATGGAATTTATCACGAGTAATTATAAGACGATAATATCTTATAATCTTTAAACGGAGATATATGAGTCATAGTTTACAAATCAATTGTGCATTGATAATATGTAAACGCATCAGTAACTTGATGTTATAAAACGTATTGTTGTGCATAATTTGGTGAGTAAATAGCAAAAGCATATGAGTCGAAGTTTATATGTTCCTTTGGCCTAAACAGGAAAAGCGATATCTTTGGCCCCCTCGATGATTTGGTGTTGACTTATAGAGTCGAGCCCGACCATGACTAAATTGATGTGTTCGATTAGTAGTTCTTTGTCATTACAAATCATAAATCGGGAAACAAAGTAGTAGACAATGAGATTGATTTTGTTCCATTTCTCATGTCCACATGATATCTTGCAGAATGGAGGATTATATGATCACTTATCTTAGGACTCATTACTGACTGGGCCAGAGTTCAACATCAGCTTTTGAGAGCTACAATTTGCTAATCAGTTTTTGAAGTTACACTAGAACTATAGTTATTAGGCTGACCCAAGTGGGAGAATATTGGATTAGGTGTCTAAGCCCATAACTATAATTGGTATATACTTAAATTGATAGTAGCACAATCCTTTTGGGTTGACCTCAAAACTACCAACTGGACAGATGATTTTGGAGAAAGAGGTTGATTTATTATTTGATTAGTAAATTAAAATAAATGATTTGTTAATATATTATGAGAATAATATATTAATTAGAAATAATAATATTTAATTAATATTTAATCAGAAATTAATTGGAATTAATGTTGGGATTAAAGGAATTAATTAAAAGTGCAGGGGCTGAAGTGCAATTGTTCAATAGTTGAGCAAGATGCAATCTAGAACCCTCTATTAGGCATGGACGGTTTCTTCATGCCTAAGGGATTCTAGAATAATCCATGGTGGATAAACAGGAAGGTGGATAATTACCCGGTTTAAGATAATCTTGGATTAAGGCTTATCTAGGGTTTCCTGACTGCACTATATATACAACCTCAACCCTAAGAATTTCGGCCTCTCTTTCTTTTGAAGTGATAGCCGAATTTTCTATCCTCTCTCCTCCTTCTCAATCATCTTCCTTTGATAGTGTTGGGTGTGAACTACTAGAGGCGTGACATTTGTGAAGCTTGTTCTCAAGGCTTCATCAACACAAGGATTTGCATTGTTATTACTATATAACAATCAATGTATGATTCTTATAACCCTATTTGTAAATTTTTTGATAATATACTAGTGTTCTAGGGTTTCTATTTTGTTGTTCAAGTTGTATGTTCAATTAGAGAAAACATAGATCAATTATTAGGGTTGCATGCACACATAGGATTTACATGTTTGGCAAAATACCCATCATATCTCACCCGTACTCTTAAGTAGAAACTACCCGATATTCATCTAAATTAATTTAGGTCTATTTTGTAATTTCTAAATTATCATATATTATTAGATATGTTCTTAACACGTATTCCAGGAAATATCAAATATCTCACACATAAACCCTTTAACATGTATTTAATACTTAAATTAATACTTGTATTAAAATCATGTTCATGAAAGGGACTATGTACTCACTTGTAAAAGTGATGACTCGAAACTCGGACAACACTTCGCTCCTAGTAACTGTCTTTTCCTTCGACGTAGCCTAGTATCATTATCACTAAGTCTTAGTCTGATATTTATTGCGACTAATTATTAGTCTAGATTCATCATGAATTCAAAGT